GTTTTATATCAGTTTATAAAAGTAACAATAAGACATTTATTTTGATTTTTAACAAGTGTTATTATTTAAAAGTAACAATAAGACTCTTATTTTGATTTTTAACAAGTATTATTATTTAAAAGTAACAATAAGACTTTTATTCTGATTTTTGACGAGTATTATTGTAACATTTGCGGTAAGTAACATATAAATTGAATAAATAACTCATAAATGTATCTTTGCGATGCGAATAATTGTGAATTAAAAAGTTAGTGACCCGCCATTTTGTCGGGTTCCGTAAATCTAGTGTTAATGAGAGTGACTTAGCAGTCTCAGCAACAATTATACCGCGGATTTTATGCGTTCGCGACGAAAACGTGTAGAACGAATATAAAACCGTAAAATCATTTTAAAAATCCAAAGAACTGTATGAAACAATTTTCAGTGGTTCATTAGAATTTTAGGATTTCATGCATCCGCAACGAAAACAAATAGAACGAATATAAAACCGTAAAATCATTTTAAAAATCCAAAGAACTGTATGAAACAATTTTCAGTGGTTCATTAGAATTTTAGGATTTCATGCATCCGCAACGAAAACAAATAGAACGAATATAAAACCGTAAAATCGCTTAAAAGATCCAAAGAATTCTATGAAACAATTTTCAATAGTTCATTAGAATTTTAGGATTTTATGCATCCACAACGAAAACAAATAGAACGAATATGAAACCGTAAAATCGCCTAAAAGATCTAAAAAATTCTATGAAACAATTTTTAGTAGTTCATTAGAATTTTAGGATTTCATGCATCCGCAACGAAAACAAATAGAACGAATATGAAACCGTAAAATCGTTTAAAAGATCCAAAGAATTCTATGAAACAATTTTCAATAGTTCATTAGAATTTTAGGATTTTATGCATCCTCTACAAAAACGACTAAAACGAATATAAAACCGTAAAATCGCTTAAAAGATCCAAAAAATTCTATGAAGCAATTTTCAATAGTTCATTAGAATTTTAGGATTTTATGCATCCTCTACAAAAACGACTAAAACGAATATAAAACCGTAAAATCGCTTAAAAGATCCAAAGAATTCTATGAAACAATTTTCAATAGTTCATTAGAATTTTAGGATTTTATGCATCCTCTACAAAAACGACTAAAACGAATATAAAACCGTAAAATCGCTTAAAAGATCCAAAGAATTCTATGAAACAATTTTCAGTAGTTCATTAGAATTTTAGGATTTTATGCATCCGCGACGAAAACGAGTAGAACGAATATAAAACCATAAAATCGCTTAAAAGACCCAAAGAGTCCTATGAAACAATTTTTAATACTTCATTAGACTAATCGAGACGTAAAATAAATCTTTGCTCGCGTCCCATATTTCGCAATTCGAGCGCACGATTTTCATTTCGCACGAACATCCGCGGCCAAGCAATAGCAAAACAAATCATTCGAATAAAATCGTCGACCAAAAGGCACTCGTTCGTATAATTATCGCGCGACAATATTCCCCCAAAGCAATCCGAATAACGCGAAACCGTGAAACCGTGGTTCCGAGGTGAGCTGCTTCGCTGTCGGCGTCGAAGACGAAGCGGACGTCGCCGCAATTCGCGAGCGACGTTCGTTGATCCGCGATGGAAGAATTTCAATGACTCGGTTATCGTTATCGATTATGGAAGCCGCGGGTCTCTCATTCTTCGTTCGCGTGACTCGAAATCGGCTCGATAACCTCCGCGCGCCTGACCAACCCCTACGAAACCCCGTTCCAACCCCCCGCCGTCCCTCGGCCCGCTCCGCTCCGGCCGGCTTCGAGATATCGGTAATCCGTGTCTTTGTTTAATAATTACCAGGTCGATGGTCGCCGCCGTGCCGCGCGATTAATTACCCCCCACCCGTCCCCCCCGTCGCGGGAGTTCCGGAGGTAATTGGATCCCGATGAACTGTTATCTTGACGCGGCTTAATCGGCCGACCGACGACCGCGGGGGCACAGGTGGCCGCGCACGCGGCACAGGGGGAGGGAGGGAGGGTGGCCGGCAGCACCCCGGGCTTTTTATCTATCGAAAAAACATTTCCGTTGGCCCGTTCCGGGGTTGTTTACAAAACCGGCGGGGGATCGCGTGCCAGATAATGGTTAAATATAAATCCGCGGCGTAAAAATAGCACGCGGGCATTCCGATAATGCCACCGGCGGCCAGATAACGCGCGCGCGCTCCTGATCCGCGTGATTCCCGGGGACGCGCGATAGTCGCCGCTAGCCGGAAACCAGCCGCTTTATATTCGCTTTATTCGCAGCCGCCTGGCGAATTGGTATCCGCCACCCTCTTTATGGGCGCGCGGATTATTTTCGAACGACGTTCGAGGAGCGTCGGTCGATCGCGCGGCCGATTTACGTCGCCGGACACGGAAATACCGGCACACGCGCGCGACCTTTTTCTTTGGCCCAGTTTCACGTTCGCCGATTGTGCGACGTGTCGGTGACCGAATTCGGTCGCTGCAGACATTTCAGTCGACGCAAGTTCGTTGATTTTGCGACTGGACAGATCTTTAATACACACATCTATCACTATCAGTATCTTTCAATACTGTGTACTAATGGTTTCTTGCCCGTATAATGAATAAATCAAATACAATTGAATTAATCGTTAGCTTTCGGTCTACAGAACCTAGTAAAATAGCAGAGTTTAATGAAGCTTCTTACTAGAGTTTAATAAGTCGTGCATGTGTTAGAATTCAACGAACGCGTTGACTGAAATTTCTGCAGCGATCGAATTCGGTCTCCGACGTCGGACAGTGACCGGACGAACGTAAAACTGTGCCAAAGAACAAACACAATTAAATTAATCGTTACTTTCCAGTCTATAGAACCTAATAAAACAGCAGAGTTTGAAAAATTTCTTACTATTGGGTTGGCAACTAAGTAATTGCCAATTTGTTCAATGAAATAACAACTTTTTACTTGGAATGAAGCTTAATCTGTAATGTATTTTCCATTTTGTTCGATGACCTTTTGCCATCTCTCTGACAACTTGAAAATTCCACGCTCGTAGAAAGTCTGATCCTTTTCGGCCAAAAACTGAGTTAAGTGAGATTTTACAGCGTCATCATCATTAAAAGTTTTACCACGAAGGGAGTTGTCCAGGGATCGAAATAAGTGGTAATCCGATGGCGCGAGATCAGCGCTATATGGTGGATGTAACATCAATTCCCAACCAATGTCCATCAATTTTTGCCGAGTGGACAAAGACGTGTGCGGCCCAGCATTGTCCTGGTGGAAAATGACACCTTTACGATTGACCAATTCTGGTCGCTTTCCTTGACCGCTGCATTCAATTTGTCCAGTTGCCAACATTCACGGATAATAAAATATAACATAATAATAATAATAATAAT